ATGAAGTTGGCAGAGGTGATTTTGTTCCATAAGCAAAGGAAAGATCTATTGTACCGAACGGTATATACACCAATCAGCCTTCTAACTTTAATCAGTAAAGTGTTAGAGCGAGTAATATTTTCTCGAAGAATTAGTATCTCAGCATAACAGATAATAACAGAATTAGTACCTCAACATAATATAATACATTAGCGAAAGCCACTTCGGTTTCTTGCTAAGGGAAGTCGACAGAAGATGCAACAAGGTACGTCCTCGAAGAACTAAAAACACAGAGGTAATGACAAACATATGATAGTGGTGGCCATTTAAGTAGGGGATTTTCCACTTGCTACGGTGACGAAGACGAAATACCCAAATTAAAAATTAGGAATTAAGATTAAGAGACACTTACTAAATTAAAGTATAAAGCTGATTTACATATTTTTCTTACATATTACATTTATGTTATAGCATTATTCAGCTGACAGATGAATGTGAATATTCTGGTTACTACTCAGCCGTCAAATATTGTTTGCATATTGTAAAAGCACAAGGTAGGCTTTTGTACTAGATTTTGGTACACGATATTTTTATAAAGGTCTTGCCGTTAATTAGCTAAGGCAGATGAATTTAATTGGATATGTTAAGGTATTACGTGTGTAATCGCACTATTGACTATAAAGGAGATTTTCAAAATAAGCATTTTGGTATACTCGAATAAAGTCAACGTTTTTATGTACTTTGCTCCAAGGACTCTTTAGACCTACACTGAGTGCCTTTAAAATTTTAAAGGCATTGCCTAACATGTTAGTCCACCTGTAGCTTTGGATATAAACTATATTCCTCTGGATTAAATACGGCACGAATAATGTCCCAGAGGAATGCTGATATAATAGCAGCTTAAAGTTCGCTCAAATTGGATGGTGGCGTTTCCAAGCACTGAGGTTAGTTTTGCATTTCATTGCACAACTCAAAGTTTTAAGTCAGAGGACAGAAATAACCGTAGGAACACTTGAACTCAGAATCATATTCTCCAGACGAAACGTGCTAGGGGAAGCGGAGCATGATTACTGCATCAGGAAATACTCGCAACCATAAATGGCTTTAGGTGGTTAGAAAAGATATTAAACTGCTGAGAACTATTTCCACGCATTTCAAAGAACCCATTGTCCTCCAGAAAAATATTATTTAGACGGTTATTCTTGTGCGACCTACTTAAAATTCACTATTACGTAGGAAACCACGAAATCGTTCACATATTCTGACCCTGTCATCTGCATAACGCACAATTGTTAAATGCCCGATTTTTAGCGCTCCAGTGCCCACGATTTCCTATTTTTCAATCCGTATCATAAAAGACCATTAAGGATGGTTTTCCGCTTCCATCCATTCCAGTTTTGCCAACCAGCGACCGAGCAGTAAAGTCGTTGAACATTGTTAGTTTGGTCCAAGCTTCAAATCCCATGAACTAGCTGGCTGCATGGGAGTTTTCTCCCGTGTGTAACGTGTATACGAGCTAGTTTTCCTTAGAAAGTTCTCCACGAAGGCATCCCTTTCCTTATGCAGATAGCCTTCGAGGCTTTGCCGTAATCATATGAACCAAACCAAACCATTCCAGTTGTAAGAATCTTAAGTTTTACTAACGTTTATTTTATTTTAAATCTCTACTATCACTTCTTATTTTCTACTTCCGGCCAGAATTAAAAGCTTTAACTTATTTATGCAAATTTGTCTGGCGAACGCCAAGTACTTAAGTTGTGGCTTTTTGCCAAGCAAGAGAGAGGAAGGAGTTAGTAGAAGCAGGCCGCTTGCCTTTAGCAGTTTTACTCGGTTGCTGGTTGCCTTCCAGGCCAGAGGTTTAATCTTCTTGATAATTTTAAACGTATTGTAGTGTTAACAGTCTCTGTACTACATACGGCTTCTGGTTAATATACGGCCAATTTTCCACGTAGGCCCTTGTTTATTATTCCAAAGTTAAGTTAGAGTTTAGTTAATATTTTTTATATTCTTACGTTTCAGACCACAAGTGGTTGGGTCTCTGTATTTCGAAGTCCAGAAATCATTGTAAAGAGTGAATAATAAAGGGTTTCGTATACCCTTCCTGTGTATCTTGTCTACTTCCCACATTTATTGAACATAGCTTTAGTAACCTCCCTGTTCCGAGTCAGGTCTTTGAATGTTCTCAAAGCAAGTAAGGCGGAACATTGAACCTGATACAGTGTCCGTCGTATTTGTGCATTCGGGTATACTCTGATTTACCTGTATTATAATAACCATGCAATTTGTCACGTTGTTAACTTTGTGTTGCTGCGGACAATTTGCATCAACCGCCATTCACTTTTTCACTCTTTTCTTTTTTTCTTCCCCAAAACTAGAAATGTACTTATTGCCCGAAATTTTTTGCTCAGCTGTTCATGAGGTACCAGTAATATTCTGTTCACACAGCGAGAATATTACACACACCATCACATAAAACTAGTCTTTTGTTTTCTTTGATATACATATTTACAAAAAGAATCAGTTTTTCAGACTGTTACTGCAAATTACATGTTAATCACACATTTCACCCAAAGGGTATTTAAAAATAACTTTTTTGAAATTTCTGATAATAAACCCCAAGTTACACATTTCATCGACTGGATTTAGTCCATAACTTTGGAAGTGCATTTATAGGTACTACGAAAGGTAAAAAGTACTACTTTTTTACTATTTTGTGAACACCTGATGAAGAACTGCATATTTTCCCCAAAATTTCATTTCAAATTCCAGTTTATAAACAACACTTTTGATAAACTTTTAACTTATTATCATAAGACAGAATATTTTATAGTAAACAAAGGACTGAATGGAATATTTTGGTGGATTTTATGTAGTCGATACACACTAGTTTGGGTTCAAAAACTGAACAGCAAAAGATTTAGCGTTTTCTTCATATAGTGCAAATAGGTTCAAGGAAGTTTACTGCATGATAAAATTTGGAACTGTTTTTACTAATTTCTTTCACTCAGAGTTCTGCCATTATGCACTAAGGCACTCATGAGCCTACTGTTAATTTTTATATAAAAACAATCCATGCACACAAACTGGTACAAAAATGATTTTATTGAATAATACATATACATGTGAGAATACTTATATAGCATTAAGATAAATGAAGTGAAGATCTGATTTTGAAGACATAATCTTGAGAATTTCTCTCAAGACATAATAAAAATATGTAAATAAATTTCTTGCACAAAAGTCGAAATGAACATTCATCTAGCAACTATTGCAACTTTTTATGTTAGTCTCCCACTCTTTTTAATAATGCATGGATATAATTTTTTGTTTTCTTCAAATTTATGAGAATTTTTTAATAAATAATAAAATGATAGATTAAAAGTTTGAAAAAATTATTTTGAGACTTATAATCAAATGGTTTTCAAACTGTGATACACAAAAACCTTTATAACAAGCTATATTTCTCTAAACAAACACATTCCTCAATAATTACAGCATAAAAAGCATAGACAGACTCTACACATAAAAAACATCTACCAAATGACTGTACATAACAAGCAACCAAACTGCAGTAAACATGCCATTTTCCATCACACAGGGAAAACAAACCTTATTATTTGGCCAGCCATTTCAAACCCACTGCGCAACCCAAAATATTCATATGTCTAGACATATTTCCACAATTATGCTAAATAAGTGAATTAATAATGTTTTAATCTAATTTGATATTTATAAAGCTTAAAATAAAGTTTATTTGCCTCATGTCATATGCAACATCATTATTTTTTATTAATGCTTTTCACAAAGGTTAATTCCCTCAGCATTTCTTACATTGCAGAATGTGCAGAGTTTATACAATTATTTAACAAATATCTTCTCTTAGTAAAGTCCTTATATAGCATTTATTTTTGCAATTGTCAATAACAGATACATACTTCCAATTAGAAAAATGTTTTAAATGATGCAACTATTCATGCTTTAGTAATTTCAAATTTAAAAAAAAAAAAAAAAAAGGCCAAATTACAAAATCTAACTTTTTATTTTATTTTCTCCTCTGATCTCAATACTTAGAAAATTTACTAATTATAAAAAATAAAATATAAAACATTTGAATATCATATGATAAAAATTAATTATATTTAAGTTCAAAATTCGTGATTTTTGATGACATTTTTCATTTAACTTGAAGAGTCAGTTAATAAATAAATTAGAATTATTTGCGGTTGATTCACTATTTTTTAAATGTCATTGACATTCTTTTGTGGTTTACTAGCTTTCAAATTCTAAAAATACATTTTTACTCATGCAGCATTATTGCTTTGAAATCTTAATCTAATGATCAAACAGAAGAACTCATTTAAAATATAAATATTTTTTAGTTATGCAGTAATGTAATGAGTTGACTACATACCAATACTAATGCCTGTGTGTTCAAACATTTTTTTTTTTTTTTTTGAAACTAAAGTTTGTAACTTTGTTACCTTCTGCGAACTAAATCTTCCTTTAGTAAAACATTACACTAATCAATATTTTTCATGATAATCTGCAGACAAATGCTCTTCATTTAATCTATTATCATAAATCATTTTCTGAACCGATATTTTATTTCTAGTTACATTCAAATGCAAACATTTCACTCTTCAGTTTGCGTATGGCCCCTGAATATGATCTTTAATTTTAAAATTAAATATGTCAATTTTTGTCAAAAAGAGTCATATTAGTATTTTTTTAATTAAATGACAAATCATGAATATTTACACCATTTAAAACATTTTTGTGAATGGATGTATATGTCTATGACCAATGGTTATGAAAATAAAAGCCACGTATGGATTTTTGTTGATATAGTACGCATATGTGAAAATGTATATACTAAAAGAAAAAAAAAATTACGGAAAAAATAAAATTAAATCATACTCTCTTCTCTATGGAGAGCAAGAATGTGAAATTATTTATCACAAAATATACACAACAGCACAATACAGATTTTCAAAAATAGCAATTAGGAAAAAAACAGTGTATTTTTTTTTTTTTTTCAATCTTTGAATAGAATATTCATTAATACCATACAGAAACCAAGTTAATTCTTAATGAATGAAAAAGGTTGAGAAATAATGCAATGGAATACTATTGACCAAGAAATGCTGAATAAATTAAGAATAAGTATGGATATTGATTGCCCTTTGCTGTTATTTTCAGGGATGCAGCAGTAAAAATAATATGTGTGTTTAAAAGAAGCCTCAAGTCCACCAGCAGAATGGATTAATTCCATGACTGTTTTCATATCCTTTCTGTGCACAAAATAAGAAACAAAACAATTTGCTTAAGAAAAATTTCAACAGATGCATTTGAACAGGACAACTAAGTGTTTATGATTTATGCTGTAATCAAAAATCCTTAAAGTGGATTTGCATAATTTTGTTCAAAACCCGTATCTGAAATATCCCTTACATAACTTTATCTTCTTTCATTTTTTGCACCTGAATTCAGTAATTTACTTTCCTAATCAAAACTTTACACAAATTAAATGAAAGTCAAAAATCTTATCATCTAATACTAATCAGAAAATTTTTTATTAATTCAACAAAGTATTGATGCTTGACAATTTTCAGAAATTCACAATATACAAAATTTCAAAACTGTTAAGTTCTTAATCAAATGCAGTTTGAAAACCAATTTGACAATGTATTTTTCAAATACAATGTTTCATATCAAGCAAATAAATAAATACCATACTTTAAAAAATATGACACCAAAACACCATGAAGCAGCAATCTGATTCATACTAATGTGATTCTTACTATCATTTATAAGGTGAAATATTACATTGATTTATCATAGAAAATGATACCCGATTTAATTAAAAAAACTGAATATTTAATATATGATTAAATTCAATAACTGATTAAACTTCCACTGAATATATACAATAAATTCCACAAAATATATTTAAATTACCTTGTGTTGTTATAATTTATTCCCTAGCAATAAAATGAGAAAAATGAATGCAGTTCATAAAATCCATCATTTATTCATTACATATGTGATCTATTAAAGATAATTAAGTACTTCATTCTTCCTTGATAAATTTTACTAGGGATAATGTAAATTCCACCAGTATCTTCATGAACATAAAATTAAGTTTTTAGAAATGCATTGATTACAAATCTGTAATACATTTTCATTTTAAATGTGGTTCAAGCCTGAATAGAAATAATCCTTTTAATGAAAACAGAAGTTATAAAATAAAACTTAAAAGCAATTACATATTAGGTGAATGAATGTAGAAAAACAGAAGCAATTCATTTTAACATTCTTTCTGCAATCTGAATGGAAGTATCTCCAATACAAGTGAAAATTCATTTCTGTTAGAGAATATACTGAAAGATATTTGGTTTAAATAAACAAATTCATGAACATAAGAATTAATTATGTGTAACATACATAATGAAGATTCACACAACTGAGTAAAACTGAATACAAATTTGAATTACTTCATAATTTTTCTTTAAAAAATGCCATATTTGATATCGCCAACTATGAAGTAATGAAATTTAGTTATACAGAAATAGATATAACTGTGAAGAAATGGCATGAGTCTCTTGCTCAGAGGCGCTTACAAAATATGTGTATTATGCAATGACTGCTGAAAAGCTTGAGCAACTCAAGGTTCCCCTATCCTCTCACCAGTGAAATTTCAGAACTTACTCGTGTCTTTCAGGCTTCATATATGCACATAAAGTGTTCCAATATTAATAAAAATTCTGAATTCTATTCAAAAAGCAAAAAGCAGTCAAAAGATCTTCACTTCTTTCTAAAAGCACTACTTAATTCTGACATTTTACATTACAACTTTGCAAGTTACGACAATGAATATTAAATTTCAAGTGAATTTTTCAAACAGATTTGTAAATATTTATACGCTTCAACATACAAACAGTAAGTTCCATATCTATTAATAACTTATTAGTCACCACACAAAGAATTAAATACCACATAAGTTTGTTCAATTAATTCTTATACATCAACTTCTTTTCACAATAAAGCAACATCCATATTTGAAGCAAAAGGAGGAAAACAGCCATTACAAAATGCACATAGCTTTTTAATATTTAACATTTATAATACTCAGAAAAAACACATAACTGGTTTACATATACATGTAGAGGAAAAGGATATTTTAAAGATAAATATATATAGCATGACGGTGACAAAAATTTTATATATTATAATTAAATTTCAGCTGTATTTTTAGCAAAAGTGATCACCTTAAGAACACAGAATATTTTCTGGAAGGGGGATTTCCATATTTACCTCATAAATATAATTTTCTCTGAGACTACTTCGGTAGTTCAGTTAACTGACTGCAATCATAAACACAATTACAAAAACTTAAAACTATTTTATGCTTTTATTATAACTACATATGGTACACAGCTCTATTACTTAATGACTAGTTGTAATTAAATGACAGGAGAAATTATTATTACAACTAACAGATACATATAAATATTCTGCAAAATAATAACTAATTCATGATGCACAATATCTTAAACTATTATCAGTAAATGCATTTTTGCTAGCATAAGTGCAGGAACTCAGTGTACAAAATTTAAATAAAATCTGCTTCAAAAGTTCACAAAAAATATGCATAATGTATTAAAGAAAAAAGGATGGAACATGTGTGTAGCTATAATTACCACAGAAAATGTGAAGGAAACAGAAATATTCAAATTAGTAAGTTGTTTTGAAATTTATTTTCTTAACACAAAGACACAAAGCAATATATTTATAAATATTCACATAATATAAGAGAAATCTTATAAAAAGTAGTGTCTTTACCTTTAATTACAAAGTATGTCTTTTTATTAATTTCTTCATTAACAATTAAGTTATAGCAATCAGTACTGAAAGAATTTGAGTAATTTGAAGTGAAATTGTATTAGAAGTTTAAAAAAAAAAAAAAAAAAAAAATACATATCTCTAACACTGGTCTCTAAAAACCTTGCAGTTCTAAGCTTTTAAAAAGTTACAAAATGAAAACCAGTTCTTCAATCATTTTTATATATATGTGTTACATGTTTTTAATGGTTGCTTTTGTCTTACATTTTCATTTAAAACTACAATGCATAGATTAACACATAAATTCATCATTATAACCTACTACATCATGATTTGAAATCTTCAAAAATAAACTTTTGTTCAATTTTTGTACAACAATAAAAGTGCATTCTTTAGATTTCTCATCATTATGAGATAATACAAAAATTACTTACAGTTTCAAAGACCAAAATGTATTTGACACTAGAAACAGACTAGATTAATATTCTGACAGTGCTATTAAACTAGTTCCTTAAACCAGTCAAATTACGAAATTACTTAAAAGTACAAAAGTAATTAGTAATGCTTATGAAAATGACCTGAAGGAATACAAACAGCCATAATTAAATGCATCCAAAAGCAATATTTCCTGAGAATTTTTCATATCAGAAAACAGAATTTTCTTTAGATACTTTGTTTGATAGCCTACTCCTTTAAACATCTAAAATTTAAAATGCTTTAACAAATAAATATTTAAAAATCACATGTTAACATTAAACTTCAGTTTTATTGCATATGCAAAGATGATATCTCAAAACACATTAATAACATTGGCAAAATTACAGGTATATCTTAAAAAAATCCTTACCTTTCTGACTGAAATTTTATACAAACTGCATTTTCCATAGAGAACAGACTAAACTTCAAATGAAAGAACTACACTCAGATCATTTTCCTCTATAAGATGATGTTGAGGAGCGGAGGAAAAAAGAAAAGAAACTGCAGTAAGAAGCTTTTCACAGTAATACTTTTAACAAAACGAGAGAAGGCAAAAAGAAAAAAAAAAACCTTTTATAAAACTGTAATAACCAAGCAGGAAAGTATGCAAGTCAAAATCACTTTTCCTTCAACCAACAGAAATACATTTTTTGCTTTCATTGAAATTAGTGGTTCTTGGTTCATTAAATTTTTAATCAAATTCTAACATCTTCGATGACTTTTTTAAAAATGTAATATCATTTAGCCATACATAATATAAATTATCTGTATTTAATATATGACTCACAACCATCTCATTCACTGAAATCATACTTAAATGAGGCAAAACATTAAATTTTCTTATGTCAAAAAGTTCTGACAAACATTTCATCCTGTTTATAAGTAAGAACTTTTGTAAAAGAAGTCTGCGCACAATATATTAAAAATGGATGCAATTGCAGCCCAAAAGAACAAACAAATATCCAATACATGAAAGAACTCTGTCTCAGCTGCCAGCCTAGAGAACATCCCCGCCTGCAAGCATAACACTGCAAAGGACTGTATGTCTTTCATTAAAGCTACAACATAAGAAAAAAATGATATATGCTCTTTAAGAGATCCTTAAACACATGAACTAAGCCAAATTGGCTGAAACTCCATGCCAGAGTAAGAAACAAATTTTGTTGTAAGGAAAGAAAATTTTAATACTATGTACATCTCATTTTTTCTGGTCAAATATATTACAAACATATTAAGAGTTCTTAAAATAATATTTATATTTATAGTACATTTGTTCAGTAACATAACAACTTACAAATTCACAACAAAAAATGGCACGGAGTGTTTTAAAATACTTTTTGTAAGAAGCAGGCAAATCAGAACAAAAAATGAATAAATTTTTTTATTAATAAAAGAGAGAAGAGATAGCTGAAAATACAATAAAAAATTCAAACTGAAGACAACAAATAAACAGGAAAACATTTTGTGTATACAAAGCACTGGATTTTTAAGACCATTACACCAAAGTTGCAAAGTAAGCCAATAAAATTTATAAATTAGATGCACTTTCTTCTTAACATATAGAACTCATAAATATAGCAATCAGAAGTAAATATCCTACAATAACGTGGAAATAAGTGCGATTTCTTATCACTTGGTGAGAAAATATCCATAAGTTTATTTCAAAAAATTTCATATAATTAAAATAAAAAGCTTTAAATATACATAAATGTGACTAGATTAAATGTTTCTCAAAATATTTACTTTGTGTCTTTGTAGAGAATATTCATCTTATATTTTTTCAAAGTTTTAGGGCACAAATATATTCAATGATTTACAGAAATATCTAAAATGCATTGTCAAATCATATTTCAAGAATAATGCTAGGCCAGTAAAGGTTAATTTCAACAACTGCTGGCTTTCAAAAGTTTAAAATATCTTATGTATCATTTAAGAGATGCTGTAAAAAAAAAAAAAAAAAAAAAAAAAAAATTTTGTAAATATAGGAGTGTTTCTTTAAAAGCTAGAAACTTTGGAAAAGTGTGTACAATAGAACCTCCACTAACAAACACTCCTTTATTAGCAAATAGTTCTTGAATCACCAAACTCTTGAAGTAAGAGACCAATGTATTCTCACTCAGTGGACACTCCCTGATAATGGATAAAAGCCTTGGTCTCATGAGTTTCTGCTAACAGGAGGTTCAGCTATACATTCCTGACTTAGAAGAAAAAACATAACAATTTATCATTTTTGAGATGAGGATTTTCATTACTGTTAAGTTATTAACAAAGCCTATTCAAAACTTCACACACAGCACATTTCATAGAAGAAACAACAGCAGATAGTTTATAGAATTAGCAAATTTAAAATATAATCAAACAAAACTAAAATTCCATTGACATATACGTACATGTCTCATGTATTTCATTTACAATTCATCAATGAAATGAAGGATGATAAACGTTGTTCAAATAGCTGGGGGGGGGGGAGAGAAGTTAAATCATCAGGTAAAAAAAAAAAAAAAAAATAAACATACAAATGTTAATAAACTATACACATAAAGTTGAAATGCTTAACTAAATACCTAAAACACATAACCATCAATATCAATGCAAATATACAAAATGTGAATGCATTCTGAAGGATGTCGAATGGCATGGCTGTAGGAGAACTGCTTCAAGTTATTAGACATGGCTTTGAATAAGCTTAACAAAATGCATCGTGAAAATTCCTCCTACAGGTTTCTTTCTGAAAGTAATAATTCATGCCTTTCAGCATCATCAAACAAAACTTGTGCTTCCTCTTGACTTATATTTTCAACTAGAGCAATCGATTTCACAATACCCTGAAAAAAAATCATCAAATTAAAATCAAAAATCTTGAATGATTTAATAAACGTTTGACATAAATGAGGGCAAAACACAATACCATGAAAACAAAGTTTGATTCCTCTTTTTGTCAATTTATGCTTCATTCTGAATTATATCTTATCAGTTCTTATTCTCATGAGATGTTTGCAGTTCTTAGAACAAAAAATTACAACACAATGTGGTAAAGGGAAGTTTTAGGCCAATAATAAAGTTTCTCTATAAATTTTATTTAAAACAGAAAGGAAGTGACATATTTACCTAATATCCATTCCGAATAAAAGTACTTCATTTATGATGGATGTCCATCATTATGATTCCCACAGATTATTGAATTTACAATAAAGATATACATATAATACATTTATACATGCATTGTATAAATTCTTACTTAACAGAAGGAAGAAGGGATGATTTGATTTTCATCTTACATTCTCTTCTGAAAATGTATTCTGCCATATTGACATCACTAGAATTTTTCCTTGGATTTACTACTCTAACACAGGTATGGTTAAATGCTTTTTATTTCAACAGATTTTGATTCCGTTTAGAGATTATTCCGTTATTAATTTGACAATATGCTTCTTTGCAATTTTATTTTAAATACATTTTAATACCAAAAATTACACATTCACAATTTTAAAATACGTCCATAGTAATATGTGAAAACAATATTCTAGTGCTAAAAGAATGTTTAAGCAATTAGATATGAAGTGACATGAATACAAGTGATTTCATACTAAAAAGTAAACACAGGAATGTAAAGATCAGCCAGCTAAAATATTTTTAAAGCAATAAATTGATGACTATCATACAAAATGTTCCAAAAAAACTGGCAAAATTAGTAGTTTGTATCATGAAAATGTTAGCAGTATGCAGTATGCTACATCTATCTTCTGTAAACTGTGATGATAGCAAAAGGAGTGCAACTTGCACCCACTTTGCTGTCGATAAATATAGCAACCCCAGAAGTTTTTGAGAAGTGCAGAGGGAGAAAAGAGACTAGCTATCAAGGACGCATATTCGAAGCCTTGAAATAAATTTTATTGTGTATTCTGTCAGACTAAAGTACCTGATGAATGTAGTGAGAATATTTAATGTGATAAGTACAACAAAGATCGGGTAGAAACCACTATGGCTACTGAATTGGTGGCTTCTGGAATTTGCCGAGTCAAGCCTTATGAAAAGTTTGCAAGTACAGTCAAAAGTCGTTAATCCGGACTCGTCGGGACTTCGGCGATTCCGGATTAGCGATTTTTCTGGATTATAGATCATCAGTTTAAATCTCGTAAAATGGCATGCAGAAATTCTAAAATTAAAAATATGAAACCGTAATTTATGAAATAAAGAACAATTATGATCTAAAGGGTATCAAAATTTACAAAAAAAAAAAAAAAAAAAAAAAAAAAAAGCTTAATATTTATTTGTTTACTTTATTAAACATTTCTTTCAATGTAAGTTGTTTAAGTTGCTTCGTTTTATGTGATAATACTTTCTCTTTAATTCTATAAACTGACATAATTTCTTGTTCAGTTACAAAGTTCTGCTGTTCAAGTCCCGTAATTGCTGTGCCGAGAATACCGACTAACTTGTCAATCGAAATTTTACGTTTTCACTAATCTCTCTGTCACCTTCTTCATATCTTTATCCATTTTTTGCAGCAATTCCACTTTTTGTTTGATGGACATCGAAACATACTTTCGTTTTGTAGATCCTTTGGGAGCTCCAGCATCGGAAATTCTATTTGACATAATCAAAAGTTCAAGTTTACTTTTATAAAATTGCTCTTACAGTTTGAAAAAAGTAATAAGCCGGATCCAGTTCGAAGATTAAGGTACAACGCAATCATCAACATTAACTGAAATAGATAATTAGGTAATTTTAGCTTATACCGTCCGTTATACATTAAACGCGCACGCGAAAACGTATTCTGCACTTTCGCACATGCATATGCGCAGTCGTAAAGATCTTACGCACACGCGTGAACGCCTATGCGCATGTGTTAATGCGGCGCATGCGCAGAAAGTTTTTAGCTTTGAGGTCCGGATTATAGATCATTCCGGATTATGGGTGTCCGAATTAATGACTTTTGACTGTACTATCATTTTTGATGACTCACTGTTTCTCAAGATTTCCAATTTTGGTATAAATCTTGCACAATGTCTGATGTACATGCCGTACAAATTTTGATTTATAACCAATTAGAGCTAGCCTTATAGTTTATTATGTATTACAGTACATTTGCTCTTGCCAACCCCTAACCTATCACTGAATAAATTATTAAGTATAATTACGCAGTTTCTCATCTTCCTCCTGATACTGTTTCATTAGTTCAGGATTTATTTATGCAACCAGACCCTACTCATCAAAGCTCAAAACTGAGTTAATAAACTGATCAGGAGAATCTTCTCAGCAAGAAATTCCCAATTATTATTTGGAAAGGAATTAGGTTCTCGAAAACCTTCCGATTCTTTAGGATTATGACATGTTGAGCAGAATCCTTAAATGTTCCTTATAACATAATGTTAGAATTACCCCTTACGTGTTTGCCTTCAACTATTCAATCTATTTTGGCAGCAGTTTAACCTCAGGTAAAGATGCAGAAACTGCCGACAGAATCTTAAATCCAACCCCAGGCACTTATTCCATTTCTCACACATTTGATCAATCTTTTGAGGATAAATTATTTAAAGAAATAGAAAAATAAAACGAATATATTGATCCTATTTCCCTTTCTTACGTTCACTCGCTAAATTGTGGACAGAGCAATAAAGAAAGAAGCAGTTCCTAATAGAGAGATTATTCTATTTGCTGGTATCATAGCTGTTTTGGAAAGTCAAACATATCAAACCTTTATGGTTTGATATGTCAAGTAAGATGAAATGACTTTATGATGTGCCAAACCATGATATGAAGCCAGCAAATATGCATGCATGATATGGATATGAAGCCAGCAAAGAATAAAGGCAACTTATTCTAAAAAGGCAAATTTCATGTTGTCTTTTCGTCCTTGACTGGAGAACAAACATTTCATTTTTGGTTAATACCAACTCAGATGTGCCCTTACTTCCAGCAAATAATTCTCAAAAACAAAATTCTCCCCAACAAACGCTTTTTACTGCTAAGTCTTCAACTACTCATGTTTATGGTAAAAAAACACTTTCTTTAGATTTCAGATAAAGACAAACTTTTCCTATAGCAAATGTTACTACAACCATTCTTGGAGCAGATTTCCTCCATTTCTTTGAATTGATGAATGATCTTAGGAACAAATGTCTCAAAGATTTAAAAATGCAGTTTCAAACTGTAGATTGCATGAAAAATGCACATATTTATTCAATAAAGGCCATTTTTAGTGATACAACTTATCACAAATTTTAAAAGAATTTCTTTCTATTACTAAATTACCAGATGTTGACCAACCTGTTAAACACAACACTGTTCATTACATCTTAACCAAAGGTCCACCTGAGGCTGCAAAATCTTGTTGATTAGTTCCATATTGCTTAAAAATAGAAAAAAAAAAAAAAAAAAAAAAGAATTTCAAACTACGATGCAATGAAGGTATTTGAAACCATGCATCCCCACTTCACATGGTTTAAAAAAAGGGGGGAACCTTAGAATGGAGACCTGAAGCAAATCATACCACACTGAATGCATAAACAATAAAAGATAAATACCCTATTCCTTGCTCAGTAGATTTTACTGCTGCATTGCACAGTACTAAAAGTTTTAGTTATGTTGACCTTATTAAGGCATACCATCAAATACCTATTAAACCCGACAATATGTATACAGCTGCCATATATACACCGTTTGGTTCATTCGAAAGTATCCGTACGCAGTTTGGCTTATGGGATGCATTTGCAACTTTTTATCAATTTATAGATGAAGTCATGAAAGATTTAGAAGGCATTTATATTTTCATTGACAACTTGCTTATAGCTTGTAAAGATTCTTAGTAACACTGCAGGCATTTGAAAGCCTTATTTTCAAAGCTATAGGAATATGGACTTTGCCTAAAAGTTTCAAAATGCACCTTCACCTTCAGTCAAACAGTTATTCATTTCTTAGGTTTTCATCTTAGTGAAAACAAAACTGAACCTCTTCCTGACAAAGTCACTTTTAGGGCATGTTTAATTTTTACAGATGCTTCATACCTAAAGCAGAACACATTCTTTCTTCTTTAATAAAATTCTTGGAAGAACATATCAGCAAAAAGAAATTTCATTCTCATGTTCAGGATTCATCCACACAGTTAACTTGGAATGAAAATGCCAAACAAGCCTTTATTGCTGCCAAAAATGCCATTGCTCAAGCTACCCTTTTCAGACACCCTATTCTTGGAACCTAGTTACGCATATGGGTAGATATGCTTCAGACACTGCAATAAGCAGCACTCTTACACAGATGTCTCAAGAAACATGGAAATCCATAGGAATTTTCTTTATGAAACCCAATAAAAGTAAACAGAAATGGTCTGCATATGATAGGGAATTATTTTCAATTTATTCTGCAATGAAGAAATTGTGACACATGTGATAGCAATAATGAATATTCCTTGTGCCTGCACTGCTGCCAATAGATATGACAACCCTAAGGAGAGGATTTTGGAGAAACACAGTGGAGAACTGTCAAGAAGTAATATGTATATCTGAAGTCTTGAAATAAAGATAAATTTTTATTATGTACCGTGTCTGATTAAAGTTCTTGATGTATGTAATGAGAATATTTAATGTGATAAGAATAACGAAGATCAGGTGGGTACCCCAATGGTTTCCACAAAACTATATTAAAGGCACTGAAAAATTCTTACATGCTTTAGAACAACAACATTCATGGCTAGCTGATTTTAAAAATATATTCTGGTAGTTTCAATGAAAACACTACAAATATAATATAATAAGGGATTTTACAGAGTTCAATTGCTCAAGACTTGATGATTATTAGATACTTACTTTGACACTGAGCAAGATCA